GGGCTCTCCGGGCTGACGCAGGGGCAGGAGAAACGCATCGGAGAGAAGAGAAGGGAAGGGAAGGTGTCCTTCTGCTCCTCGGGGCGAGTGCTGCGAGCGGGGCAGGCAGCGTTCCTCCTGGGATCCCGCCCGAAAAGAGGAAAAACTCTCCCTGCCCTGCAACCCCCAAAACCGAAAAGAGGAAAAACTCTCCCTGCCCTGCAACCCCCAAAATTATATTATTATAACAGATTTGGGAAAAGTCTTCCCATGTGGCTCCCGAGCTGCCTGCCGGCACACAAAGCCCGGCCGCGGAGATGCTAAAACAGCCCCCCCCCGGGATGCCCGTGGGCTTGTGGTGGCAGGGGCTGGGCAGGGAGCCGGCGCTGGTTGGAGCACGGGGAATGTGGGAGCTCCTGGAACAAGGAACCATTTGGAAACAGTCGGGCAGGACAAAAGTGCCATTCACGGGGGTTCCCGGGGACGGGCGCTCGCTCCCACCCCGACTGCGGGATTTGCTTCCAAGGCGAAGCCGGAGTTCTCCTAACCGGCAACACTTCTCACCCTTATACATTTCACTTTAAAATAAATAAGCCTGGGAGGACGGAGGCGTCGCAGGCGTGCAGCCCCAGCCGGCCCGTCTGGTTTCCATTTCCAGGAACACCAGGGGTTTGGTCCCCGGGACCGGAGTCTCTTCCTCCCCCCCAAAAAAAACGCCCCGTTAGGATAACAGAGATTTCTTTGCAAAGTTGCTCCTGCGGAGTCCTTGTGCAAACCTCCGGGCTGGGGCCAGGCTGCCCCGGGAGCTGCTCTGCCGCCGGCTCAATGGCGCTTTTGTGCCGCGCCGCGGAGCGGTGCTGCGGGCAGCGAGCCAGCCCGGCGCAGGGGGGGTCTCACGGAGGGGCTCGGGGTCCCCAATTCATACCGGGGCTTCGGGCACCTAAATCCTGCCGGTGTTCTTAGAAACCCCAGTGCTGGGCTTGCACCCCGAGGAGAGAGAGACCTTTGCGAGCACCGCCGTCACCCCATCGAGACCCGGCTCTGTCGGGGCAGGAGCCCCGCGGGCACCAGGGCAGGGGGGCAGGAGGGGGTGGTGATGGGGGAGAAACCAGGCAGGGGATGGGGAGCTCGTTGTGCCACTTTGGGGGGAGAATTCCTGGTTTTCTCCATCCATGTCCTTGCCGGGGGGCACAGACTGGCAGCGGAGGACCCGTGGGGAGGGGCAGAGCTCTGACGCCTTGGGGTGCTCGCTCCATCCCAGCTCTCTGCTGATGGGTCCCCAGCACACGCCGGCAGCGAGTGCTGTACCCTGTGCTCCCCCTGACCCCCAGCACCTCTTGGGGTCCAACTGCTCCTTCCTGACGTGGGTCCTTTCCTTTTTTCCCTTTAGCGAGGGCCACCGGGAGAGCCCGGCCCGCGAGGGCCCCCCGGTCCCCCAGGAGTGCCGGGAGCGGATGGCATTGATGTGAGTACTGCGCGGC